AAGAGCTCACTCCACTCCACTAGGTCAACCCTTGACACTACCACTAACAGGTTGTGTGACTCAAGAAGAATATATTTAACCCATGAAAACGTCACTTTTCTCAGCTTTAAAATAGGGATAATGCCTCCCAAAGTCATTGGGATGATTCAGGGAATAATTCACACCATCTACCTAAGCAGTGTCTGGCACAGAATCGATTGCTGAAGAGAGATTTTATTTTTTCCAATCCACTACATCATGCAAGCTTTACAACTCCCTTTCCTACCAAACACTGTCCAGCTGAGCTCCAGGGAACCCCTCAACTTCCAGAGAGAGGCTTCAGAGGTTCTGCAAACATTTGATTCAGCTTTTTCTTCCTAATACATTTAACCTCTTTCTTCAAACCTGTGAATAAATTATTATTCACACTCTAATGGATCATAGGCCACATTTTAACATGTTAGAGACTGAAAAAATAGCCTGGTTAACTTGGTTTTTAAATAGACTTAGAATATAGTTTGTCTTGTGGCCTCAGTGCCCATTTCTAACTACTTGTGAGTATGTCACTGATTTGGAATGTTGTAGCTCTGCACGCGTCTCTGCTCGCTTGCAGGTCTGTGCATGTTTGTTCCTGTAAATTGATACAAGCAACTTTACCAGGCTCAATTCAAAGGCATGACAAACAGATGCAAAAGGCAGAGATGGGCAGCATATGACATCTTAGAAGTTATCATTGGTTTTCTATGCTTTTTTCTGACTTTTTAATTTATGATGAAAACATGGGAAAATTATTAGATATTTCCTAACATTTTCCTAACATCTTTGAAGTTGCTTTATCATTTTAATTGAAGTGTCCTGAGATTATTTAATGTACCATTATAATAAAACAGATATCATTCACAGCTACTTAATTTTCTCGTTCCTGTGCTGCCAATACATAAATAAATTAGATGAGGAGTGTGATAAAAACTGCAATGTCATCCATAATGCCCAAATGCAAATTTTAATGCTGATGAAAATAGCTTCATTTTCCTTATTGTTGCCTTTTCAGTTCACAAATTTTATAAAATGTGGATGGATGAAATAAACATATTGTTTAAAAAACGATTTTTACTTATTTTGTATCTTAGAATTCTAAGATTTTGTTTGTTATGAATTTTGGTGCTAAAAGTTTGGAAAAACTATTGGAAGATAAACTCCCTTAGTCTGGGTATATATTTTTGAGATTTATGAGTAAGTTGATCTTCCACAATATTTTTTTCTCCCCTTCTTGTTTTGTAATCTGTGCCAGGATTTCTTTGGGAGTTAATTTTGACTAGGACTCAATCCAAGTCCAATTTTAGAATAAGTGACTTGTGTACTGTTGAGTACAGATGTCTTTTCATTTCCTTTTGTAAAAATCAAAACTATAGTTGAGCCTCCCCAGTTGAGTCAAAATGGCATAATATTTACCTGAAGCTTTCATTTTTGGAATTACCTCTGCAATATCATGCCTTTGCATGTTCTGATTCTTTCTCTTGTTCTATACTCTATTCAGTCGTGTTGTCTGCTTGGGCCACTCATCTTTGCCTCTGGTGTTTATCTATAAATTGCACAATGACCTTTGGCTAATAGTAATGAACTATAACATAGTTTGACTTGAAAACTTTATTAAGTGTAATAACAAACACTTTAGTCTCACAGAGTGACCTATTTGGGACTTATTCTGTGAGAGGGTTCTTGATATTTGTGGAGTCATTTTGATATATACACAACCAAACACACCTGGATAAGGCTTAACATAGACCAAACTTGGACCAAATTCCTTCTTCCTGTGGATGATGTTACAATGAGAATCTTGTCTTATATTAAACCATACTACATGTTTACACTGTTAAATGAATCACTGAATGACAGGCTGACTTACCTAATCACCTGGTTTTCATGTTTTCTTTTCTTCTTTTGGATTTTAGAGCGTGTCTAAGTTTACAGACTATGAGTTGAAGGCCTATGCCAAAGCAGGTTCAGTGGCTGATGAAGTCATTTCGTCTATGCGAACAGTGGCTGCTTTTGGTGGTGAGAAAAAAGAGGTCGAAAGGTTGGTTAATTGGAATGTCTGCCTCTTTCCTGAATTTCATCAATCAGCATAGTACCCTGAATCTTACCCAGTTCTTATACAGTGCTGACTTACCTTGGTCTGTGGTACCCTGAGGGAGCATCTGTTCAAGTGGTAACAGACTACTTTAGATTGGCCAAAGCACTGCAAGAAGTCCCAAGCCTTTAGCAATGTATTTTTAAAGATGTTACAGTTCATGATTTTAAAAAAGTCAACTTAGGTTAGATATTTATTTCAAACTCTGATGATCTATAGTCACACATATCATACCTCATCTGAGTTTATCATGCTGTTTGCTGACATTAAAGAAAAGCTTACATGA